ATATATATATATATATATCTTTTGTTTTTCTCTATGTAATAATGCAGTCTTCATATCAAATTGCTTTATTGTGTTATGAGTGCTAACATAATACAGATTAAGAAATGCTTGATTACAGACAAGAATACCTCATCATAATCAATCCATTCTAATTGTGTAAAACTTTTAGCTACATACCTTATTTTTTACCACACATCAGCTCCATGAGATTCCCTCTTATTTGCATACACACATTTGCACCAAATGGTTTTCCTTCTTAGAGAAAGCTACACTAGCCTCCAAGTAGAATTTGTCCTAAATGACTCCATCTCTTCATCCATTATCTCACTCCAAAGATTACGATTTGGGCTCTCCACAGTTTCTTTGTAGTGACAAGAAATTTTAAACATCGTGGTTGAAAATTTAGATGAAATGTGATCTCTCAATCAAGTTAATTTTGAGATATTATGAAATTGGTCTTATTCCTAGTAATAGATTCTTGAGTAAGGACATTATCCTCAACATCTTATTCCACCTCCTCCTCCTAAGTACTATCAACAGAAACCTTCTAAGCTGCATTTGAATTAGGTACTTGAGTAGTAGTGGATAAATTTTGTGGAACAAATGGAGTTACAACAAAATCCAACTTTTGTTGCATATATGTGGTTCCAATATACCTCTCTGCCTGCTTTGAATCCCAAGGCTTCAGCACGCTCGCCTTGTCAAATTTAACATTCCTCTGCTTCGTTACCTGATCAAAAAGTTTAAAACCCTTAACTCCATGCCTGAAGCTAATACATATTGTCTTATTTGCACGTAGTTCTAGTTCATTATTCTGCACGTGGTAGTAAACTTGACACACAAACCTCGTAATCTCAAGAAGGATGCCCCAACCACATATCTTTTGGAGTCATCTTTTTAAAAATTGTGGAAGGCTGATGGTTCACAAAGTGACAAGTCTAGTTTAAGGTTTCGGCCTAATAGAATTTATCTAATCCAACATTAGACAACATACAATAAAAATTATCCACCAAAGACCAGTTCATCCTCTTTGTCGCCTTATTCCATTGTGATGTCTCTTGAACAATGAATTGATGACCTATCATAAGTCTTCAACACTCTTGCAAGAATGCATCTGATGTGTATTCACCCTTATTGTATGAACTGATACTCAAAATCTTTTTATTGGTCTGACTCTCAACTCACTTTTTTCAAGTCTTGAAAATCTTTAGTACATCGTTCTTATGCTTCATGGCGTACACATAAACATATCTAAAGAAATCCATCTGTCAAACTATGTATTCATCGGGTTCTAAACATCTGTGTGAACATACTCTAAAATATCTTTTGTATTGTGAATAACAATACAAAATGATACTCGTGTCTTCTTGTCAAACACATAATGTTCATAAAAATCAAGCTTGCAGGTGCTCGATATTTTAATCTATTATTGTTTCACCAAAGCCTGAAGTGAAGCTTCTCAAGCATGAGCTAGCCACATATGTCACAATATAGTGGCGTTGAAAAAATCATCAGCAATAATAGCTGTTTCAATCACTGCATTTCCCTAATTAAAGTAAAGATTGTGATGAAGAACTCCATAAAAATAAGTGTTTCACGATATATTCTCAGAACGCCTGCCTCATTAAAGCCCCAACTGACGACAAATTTTTTCTAATATCTAGAATATGTGTAACATCAATATGCTCCATCACATTACCATCATGCATCTTGATAAAGCCGTTGTTTATACCAATAGTGCTACAAACTTGATTGCTTCTCATAATCACTGCATCGATATCTAGCTTCTTATACACACCTAACCATTTTCAATGAGGATAAATGTGATAAACAACACATGTCTTGAATCCAACCTGAATCATTCGTACACAAAACTACATATAAAGTTATATTAATAAAAAAACTAACAATCCCTATTAATTACTCGTTGTAAACCCGAGTTTATAGTTTTCATTTGGAGGAAATCTTTAATCTTCTTCAATGAATTCTCTAATTTGGTAAGTAGTTCTCGAGTTTAAACAAATATCATTAGACAAATAAATTTGTGCATCAACAAATCAATGAATTATCATTAGCTTGACAAATTAGCCATTGGGCATATTTTAATGTACACCCTGACCTGATTAATTATATTGGGTGGCGTGTCGTGATTAAGACACGAATATCGTCTAGCTAGCGGTTAAAAATTAGACACGATTCAGATACAAATGCAGTTAAACGTTAGAACCGACTTATGAATCAATCGTTGAAAATTTCGATTTCTATATAAACGCCGAGCGTCGTAGCTTTATACGATGTCTGTCAGTCGATCGTCTCCGACTAGAATTTATACTTTTTGTTGCACTGAAAACCCTAATTCACAATTTTCCGGCATGTCAAGTTCCCGAATTCTGTTTATCCCCGGCTATCATTGATACTTTCTTTTTCCTAGCCCTAATTCCTCTGCGTTCGTTCTTCGTTTCTCCAGTTGTTTGATTCTGACCGTAATGGCTGCAAGGCTGACAAAGAACGGCATCGCCGCCATCAACGCCGGCGATCTGGATCTGAAACCGGTGTTTCAGGTGATGGAGGTCACGAAGATTGTTGGATCGCAGGAGAGGTTTCGGATTGTGGTGTCTGATGGCACCACGACTCAGCAAGCGTTGCTTGCCACGCAGCTCAACGGGGTAGCGAGGGCTGGGAAAGTACGTCGGGGATCAGTTGTTCAGCTGCTGGAATACATTTGTAGCACCGTTCAAAGTAGGAGGTAAATTTTCTACACCACAGCATCCCCCTGTCTGCTAGAAAATAATTCTTAGTTGTTAAAATATCCAGTGCACATACAAATAAAAATAATCAGAGATAACTAAATTGTTATGAAAAAAATCCAAAAAATAAAAGATTCTTGTGGTCTAGCCAGACAAGAGTAGTTCACTATATAATTGAAATTATGAAATTTTGCTCTACTACTCAATTGGAGAAAGCGGGATAACAAAACCATGAACACTAGTTTAATGTTTTATTACAATAGAGATTATAAGATGACAATGTCAGTAATAATGATTAGGCAATAATAAATCGGAGATCACAAGTGAGTAATAATAACTATACAATAGAAGTTTAGCCATGACAGTCACTAGTATATATTTATGTTTAAAAGATGGACGGCAGCTTGTGCCTGTTGTCACCATATATGCTAATTCGATCTAGATGGATTCAAACTCGGGACAGATGGGACTTACGTCGAAGCTGCCAACAACTAAGCCACCGGTTGCGCGCATATATTATTTCTTCCCCTGTTTATGGGTATGATAACATTGTCAACATTAGTTAAGGACTTGAGACAATTTGAAGGATTATGAGCATATGTAGAACAAATCTTGCAAGGAACTAGTTTCCATTCATCGATTACATGAATATCTATCTCTTTATTTTTAGCCTCAATAATAATAGAATCAGGCCAAACAGAGTCTGCATTAACTCTAACATAGGTAAGAAGAGTTCCTTTAGCAGTTAATGGATCTCTTTTTGTGAGTTCAGATTTTGCTCTCAACTCTATTTGATTTCCCTTCATAATTATGGTCTATTTATAATTTTTGGAGTGTTATTATGATAAATTTATTCAAAATCTTAAAAACATTCTATCAGACAATTCGTGTTGGTTCATTTGATCATATATTATTTTTCTTAGCATTTAAGTTCGTTAAGTATCTCGTATTTGAGTGATTTTAGTTTGTTTGATTTTTATCGTCAAGCCACTCAATTTGACTATAAGTATGTCTAGAGATCGATTGACCTTTCAATTATTGCTTTTGAAACTTTAAATTATATTTCAAGTTTTTGATATGCTCTCATTTAGACTCGGATTGGATTATTTTAGAGTTATTAGTTTTGTATTGTTGACACTTCAGTTAAAGTATAAATTCACCAAAATTGGAGCTTTGATGATCCTTAATTTGACTTTATAAGTTATCTTATAAAAAACGCATCGTGATTTATGTTTGATAATTTGGATTTTATTATGACATTAAAGTTAAAGAGGTGAAATTTATGTCTTAGTATGTTTGTTTGGTTGTTGTATGATGGATATCATAGTTGATCTTTTTATCAATTTTTCAAAGCTGTTATGGTTCTTTATATAATGTAACTTGAAGCAACTTATATTTGGTGTAAATTCCAGTTATATGATAGCTTAATATGAAGCAGGATGATCGTTATCCTTAACATGGAAGTTTTGATCATGGAATCTGAGTTATTTGGAAAATTGAGTTGTCATCCTGAAACAGAATCAGCAAACCAGAAGCCATCCTTATTAAACAACTCAGGCTACCAAAAAGAGCGACTGCCTAATGGAACATCTCTAAGCTTGAGCTTTAATGGTGAAAGTTATCCACCAACAGTACAACCGTCTTATAAGCCACCTCCAAATTACAGAAGCCATGGGGCAATCTTGAAGAATGACGCTCCCTCGCGAATTATCCCCATTGCAGCTCTGAACCCGTATCAAGGGAGATGGGCTATTAAGGCGAGAGTGACGGCGAAAGGAGAACTTCGGCGGTATAACAATGCCCGGGGAGATGGTAAAGTGTTCTCCTTCGATCTTCTAGACTCTGATGGAGGAGAGATTCGAGTGATCTGCTTTAATGCCATTGTCGATCGCTTTTTAGATGCTATTGAGGTAGGAAAAGTGTACGTGATATCAAAGGGAAGCCTAAAACCGGCTCAAAAGAACTTTAATCATCTTACCAATGACTGGGAAATATTTCTAGAGACATCCTCCATTGTTGAACTTTGTCCAGAAGAAGATGACACCATACCTCCACAACAGTTCAATTTCAAAGCAATAAGTGATATCATGAATGCAGAGAACAATTCAATTGTAGATCTTATTGGAATAGTTACATCAATTAACCCTTCAGTGACAATATTGAGGAAGAATGGCATGGAAACTCAAAGGAGAATTGTTACTTTGAAGGACTCGTCGGGTATGAGTGTTGAGCTGACTCTTTGGGGGGATTTCTGCAACAGTGAAGGAAGGCAACTGCAGGAGTTGTTTGATTCTGGGGCTTTTTCGTCTTTGGCTGTGAAAGCAGGTAAGGTAAGCGACTTCAGTGGGAAGTCAGTTGGTACTATATCTGCATCCCAGCTCTTTATAAACCCTGAAATCCCTGAGGCTCTTAGCTTGAGAGAGTGGTTTGATAAGGGAGGGAAAGATATTTCCTCCAATTCCATCTCTAGAGAAACTATGGCCGTGATTCGTCAGAACGTAGTTCGTAAAAATGTTTCACAGATAAAGGATGAGGGTTTGGGAAGAGGTGATAAGCCTGATTGGGTGACATTAAAAGCCACTGTCTCATTTATAAAGACAGAAAATTTCTGCTACACTGCCTGCCCTTTAATAATTGGTGATAGGCAATGCAGTAAGAAAGTTACCAAACTGACTAATGGAAACTGGTGTTGTGAACGGTGCGACAGAGAGTTCGAAGAGTGCGAATATCGGTATCTCCTTCAAGCTCAGGTGCAGGACCATAGTGGAGTAACTTGGGTGACTGCCTTTCAGGAGTCAGGAGAGGAAATGCTTGACTGCTCAGCCAAAGAACTATTCATGCTTAAACAGCATGATGATCCAAAATTTGCAGAGATTGTTAGGTCTTGTCTCTTTGTGCAGTTCTTATTTAGAATCAAAATCAAAGAAGAGCATTTTGGTGAAGAACAGAAGGTGAAGATTACGGTAGTCAATGCAGAGAAAGTGAATCCTTTAACTGAAAGCAGATACCTACTCGAAGAAATCTCAAAGTTCGATCATATAGCATTCTAAGCCAATGTGTCGGGTAAGATTCTTGGACTAGCTTTCCGGCCTTGATTCGTTGTATTCATCATTGAGTTTGTTGGTTTAGAGTGAGCATTAATGATTAGAATTCTTTGAATTGAATAAGATGTTTCTAAGAAGTGCACTAGCACCATTTGAGTGTGTGTTATGTGCAATTCTGGAGACTAAAATGAATCTCCACAAGGTCATATGTAATTCTTTTCTACCTGGATTTGAGCTAAATGTTGTCAAATGATTATTTTAGACAAAATGAACTCGTGGTTTTTTTAGATCTAGATTTTGTGGATTTCGATCGTGAATCTGGGATTTATTAAATCGTCTCATTTTGTGGATTTAACTCCGCGCGTTGCGAATTTAGCGCTGGAGGAGTTTTACTCGCTTAAGGAATTCTTCGATGGGAAGGGGATGGAGACATGTGGATCAGGTAACAAGAAATCAAGTAGCACACCATCCCTCCTGCCAAAGTTGTTGGCGTTGTAGCCTCTGTTGGGCATGAGCCTGGAGAAATTGATGGAAAAAAGCTATTAGTTCAAGGTCTAGTAGTGTAAGCTTTGAGGCTGTAAGCTCACCATAAATATCCTTGCCCTCCTTTCCTGAATCGAATTCACTGGGAAGACCCCTATACCCAACTTCTTTGATTTGTTCTTCAGTCGAGAAGAAATCAAATCTATTGAGATCCCTCAACGAGACTTCCATAACCACAACCTCAGTTTGGCATAATTGATACGGACTAAATGCTGTGAAGGGCTGACGAATCATGCAAGTGTAAGTGTCATACAAGTAGTATATAGAATAGAGTCTGTGTATCTTTCTCACGAGAAAAGCCCGAACTCCCAAAGTGTGAAAAGTTTCATGTCTACTTGTTTTGAGTCTAGCCTGAAGGCCCGATTATTGGTAATTTTTTAACTTATCTAATCTAATTTTTATATAGAGAGAAAATATTAGTTTAAATTTGTGAAGTAATCAATTGAGTAAGAATATCTTCCCTGATTTAGATCCTAAAAACCTAGGGTTAACAAGCAACGTAATTAACAGTGACAATCAGGAACAATTTTCTTCCTTAGCCCCTTCCGGTGGCAATAAGAAACTTGGGACATCAAATATGTTTAGTTTCCTAAATCTGGTGAGAATCTCAAGATTAAGTATTTCCCTACGAGCAATATTCTTATTCACCCAAGCTAAAGAGTTTAAACTAATTGTTCCTTTAAGGATTCTTCCGAAATTTAAAGTTCACAATGACTTTCAACAACAATCAATTGGTCAGATCGAATGTGAATGAAGATTTAAAGTTTAAAACATCATAACGACAAAGTTTCATCCAAGTCACATGCACAACAATTAAACCCTAGAACTTGCACTCACCAAATCAAAAAAGAAAAGATATTTAGTAACTAATCATGCTTTCAAACAATAGACAACACCTTTTACTAATCATTGTAAACAGATTATACAAGTTTAGAAAGAAAAAAAAAAAAAAAAAACTACACCCTTAGTTGCAAATTTCTCTCCTCTTCCACTTTCTAGTTCCCGATGATCACTAAGTCTCTAGAACTATCCTCCTGAACTGTCTCTTACAGATCACCTCACTTCTCTGGCCATCTTACAGAGTTTCTCTCCATTACACATAAGAATACACAACACACACGAGAGAGAGAGAGAGAGAGAGAGAGAGAGACTAGCAATAGAGTCCTTTTCCTTTATAAAAATTTCATCTTTTGTAGTCTTGGAAGACACCATGCAGAGAACAGTTATCTTAATACTAATGTTGGTTCGTTGGCGCCAAGGTTTCTCCTCGGAAGGCCAGAGTTCTCTTTCTTCTATGAGGATTCATTGCTTGGGTCTTTAGGTGGTGCCTTGGTGCCAAGGAAAGTGGCTCGCATTTGCTTGAAAAGGGTGCCTAGGTGTCATGCGCTCTGTTGGGTGCTTTGTTGGGTGCCTAGGCAACCTCAGTTTGGCAATTGATACTGACTAAATGTTGCGAAGCACCCATGAATCACGTCAGTGTAAGTGTCATGCACGTAGTATACATAATAGAGTCTGTGTATCGATCTCACGAGTAAAAAACAAAACTCCAGAAGTGTAAAAAAATTTTAGTCTATTGGTTATGAGTCTAGCCTGAAGGTTCGATTATTTATAATTTTTGAAATTATCTAACCTAATTTTTGTATAGAGGGAAAATAATAGTTTAAATGTGTGAAGCAATCAATTAAGTGAGGAAATCTCCTCTGATTTGGATCTTAAAAGTCTAGGGTCAACACAAGTAACAACATTAACTGTGAAATTAGGAACCATTTTCTTCGTTTGCCCCTTCCGATGACGATAAGAAAGTTTGGACATTAAATATGTTTAGTTCCCAAAATCTAGTGAGAATCCCAAGATTAAGTATTTACCTACAAGATCACACTATCCTATGAGCAATATTCTTATTCTCCTAAGTTAAGGAGTTTAACATAATTGCTCCATAAGGATTCTTCTGACACTCAAAGTTCATAATGCGTTTTAACAAACTCAATTGGCTAGATCAAATGTAAATGAAGATTTAAAGGTTAAAACATCATCACAACAAAGTTCAACCAAGTCACATGCACAACAATTAAACCCTAGACCTTCTACTCACTAAATCTAAAGACAAAAGAAATTTAGTGACTAATCATGCTTTCAAAAAATAGGTAACACGTTTTATTAATCAATTATACAAGTTTAAAAAGAAAAACCAAGAAAAGTTTAAACCCTTGGTTGCAAATCCGTTCTCCTCTCACACTTCCTGGTTCCTGATGATCACCACGTCTCTCAAACTATACTTCTGAACCGTCCTTACAAAGTTTCATTCCCTTACAAAAATGAAGAGGAGAATCCGTTCGGATTCTCCCGCTGCCCATCGCGCGCCTGGAATTTTATTTTCCCGCTCTCTGCCCTAGCTCCCGCTTCCTTCCCTTCTCCCGCTCCCGATTCCTTCGGTTCTCTCGCACCTTGTTCGGCCTTCAGCTCCTCTCTCCCTTCTTCTTCCGGCGTTAATCCCAGGGTTCGGCATCTCTCTTCTTCCGGCGTTAGGCATCTCGCTCCCTGCTTCTTCCGGCGTTAATCCCAGGGTTCGGCATTGAGCTCCTCTCTCCCTGCTTCTTCCAGCGTTAATCCCAGGCGGCCGGTAATCCTTCGCAGCTCCTCTCTTCGGCATTCTTCCCCTTCCAGGCTTTCTTCCGGTTTTTTTTTCTGCTTTCCTTTTTCTCTATTCCCAGGATGGCGGAAGAAGCAGGGAGCGAGATGCCTAACGCCGGAAGAAGCACCCAGAGATGCTAAAAATTACTGGAAGAAATATGAATCTGAGTTTTTAATTCTCCTTTTTCTTCTCCACAAAGAGCTCTTAAAATGACTAGCTTCTTGTAATTTGGATTAGGTTGATTTTATTGTGGTTTACGTTCAGTTTAGAGCAATGCTTAACCCTCCAAATAAAACTCAGTAGTTTACCTTGTCCGTAACAAGACCTTTACTTTTTTTTTTGGTTGGTTTTTCTGTTCTGATTCTGCAATAAAGATAACACAGATCTGCTTGGTTTATTCTCCAGCATCTCTACAACCTACCTTTTGATGTCCCACTCAGGTGTTAGATATGAAAAAGTGAAGGCATGAATGTAATAATTAAGCTTAGGTGTTAGATATGAAAATACATAGGAACTGAAGTTTATTGCTATGAATGATCCTGCTTGTACTTCAAAAACAATCAAGTGTTTATCACATTTTCTTAATGAAGAAACCAGTATAGCTTATGCCAAAGCTTAAATTTTTTGAAATGCCTTGGAGAGCTGCGTCTAATAAGGTAAAGGCATTAATGAAATTCTGTTTGTTTTGTTACGCAGCATTTTGAGTGCTGGGATCCAACCTTGAGTGCTAAAATTTAAATTTAAATGCTCTGTATAATTTCATGCTTCTTAAGTTCATCCAGAAATCTTTGGATAAGTTGAAATTTGTATTGAAAAAAAACAAAAATTTAATACCAAATTGACCGAGAGTGAAATATTTGTTTGGAATGGCATTCAATATGGGATCAACTTTGAATCTAAGCTCGATTCAAACTGGTTTTGAAACTGAACCTGCAATCATGTTCTCATCGAAGTTGTAATTTAAATTTGAATTAAGTCTTGATTATGAAATTGGAGTTTGATGAGAATTTGAATGTTCTCCTAATGATGAATTTATATTTCCAGTAGAAATTCGATTTGGTCTCGAATATGAGCCTGAATGCGAATCTGAAGAAAATATACCTATTTTAGTTGGCAAGTCAATTGATTAAAGTTCAGCTTGTTATTGATTTTTGTCAACATGTTTTGCTTCTTCACTTATAAATTGATAAACAGAACCTTAGAGAGAAATTCAAATTTGCAAATATTTTAACAAATTTATCAATGAGCAAATCCTTGAGACTTTATAAAAGAAGGCTCCATCTATTTCTGTTGGATAATTGTCGCTGATTTGGGATTTGTCCATTCCATGTGCCTGCGGTTATTGTGAGTCGCTTCCTATGCAAGTTCTCAAAAAGTAGTGAAAATTTGCTTTTATATTTGCCGTGGTTGAATTTGGAAATTGTTGTTATCCTTTGATTTTTTAAGCTGAAACTACTTTTTTTTTCATAATTTCATGAAATTACCAAATTTGGGTTCCTTAAGCTGTAAATGGAATCACTGAGGCATGCATGATTGATTGAAGTTTTTTGCTTTCCTTTTAAACTTTGTGTATATGAGTTGGATGTAAATTTTTTTTAGCACCAACAAGTTTTATTGAAAACTTCTAGGTAATGTTCCCCTCGTAATGGCATGAAATTTGGATTTTTAAGTTGGTGATTTATATCTTTGTTCTTTTCATCTATAACTTTTGGGATTGGTCTACAAGTGCACCTACTCAGGGTTCAACGGTATCTTATTGTTCAATTGTTTCCCAACTGGATAAGGTTGCTCGGGGGTCTACCGTGTCACATCCGGGCAACATTCCTCGTGACATGCATTGTAAAATGAATATTGTCTTTTTTTTTAATTTTAATTTTAACATGTTATTTCTTATTTTTGTTTAGGTTTCATGATACTCACTATCAGGTAAGGTGTACTTTTTTTTGTATCGTTATGAAGGGGATTTATTGGTTTTAAAATATCTAATGTGAAGACAATGCAGTTTTGTTGAGAACATTACAATTTCTGCGTGTCAGATTATTTATTTACTTAAAAAAAACTTGCAAATCAGTTGTTTTCATAACACAAACTAAACATCTTATCCAAAAAAAGGGCAAAATAGTCATTTATCCACAATACAAACGCACAAATCAAAAAGTCAAAACAACTTATTCGGACCAGCTGCTTATCTGGATAAGCTGGATAAGCTGCAGCTGCCCCAAACAGACCCTTAATCATTTGATACTTTAAGAATTTTTTTTTACTTGAGACTAATGTGGCGCAGGATCACTCTTATAATCATTCAGAAATTTCTGTAGGAAAAAAAAAATTATTTAGAGAAAAATTTCAAAAATTTTGGTATAGTATTTACCCGTCAATAAAAGCTTCTAAAAATTATCCCATTTTCATAAGCATAGAAGCTGTGACAAATTCTAGAAATTAACAATAAAAATTAACAGAATAAAAAAGTTTGCTATATATAAATTTTCTGCCCTATCAAACGGTATAAATAGTTTTTTAAATGAAAAAAATTAAGTAAATATAAAAGGATGTTATCTGCAACCAATAAAAGTCACTGAAGATTTTTTATAAATAGTTTACTCATACAAACTAATACAACAACAACAACAACAACAACAATGGGTTCAACTACATGAATCTTTTTTCTCAATTACATTCTATTGTGTGTTATATTTTCATTTAATTCTAATAGATTAAGAACTTTTTTTTTTTGTACAATATGTCCTAGTCTTCCTAAGGTCTTTCTCAATATAAGTCAAATCTAAAATATCTACTCTCCTAAGGTCGATGTTTGATTTGGTCAAACTATCTAAGATGACTCTCTAATCTTGTCCGTCACTTGAGCTACACTAGCCTTATCACGAAGATATTCATTTTCCATTTTATCTCCAAGTATCAAGCCACTGACCTACCTAAGCATTCTCATCGCAACAAAACTTTACTTTGTTTTCAGATTTTCGAAACACATTGAACATGCAATCCTCCTAAAATAAAGTCGATTTATTCTCCTTGTTTATCTCCTTGGTTTCTTCTCTTTCTATTTGCTTTTTTTTTTTTAGTGTTTGGATCCATTACACCTAACATTAGTTTAACAGCTTTTACAACCAACACTATCTAGAAACTCATCAAACATATCACCTTGTTAAGCTTGATAATTAAAGCGTATACAGAGTTCGCAGTGCGTCTGTCAAAGTCCTTATGTCGAAATCCCAGTGTCAAAATCCCGGTATCAGAGACGCTAAAATCTCTGATGCTTTTCCAAGTCTGACAGTGAAGAGGTCCGGTGGCAAAAACCTAACAAACTCAGAGAGAATCGCTTCGACCATGAACCCTAAACCTCCAATACACAAATGGAAACCCTAGCTAGTGTAAAAAGATAATAAATCGACAGCGCACCTTTTTTTTAGGCATTCGGGCGGTCTTAGGGTCAGGCACATGGAAAAACACATTTTTTTCATTTATCTTTTAATGGCAAAAAAAGGCGTCTAACACTTCACATCTGGCCTATTTTTATTGGAGTCTGGACTCCAATATTTCTTCCCAAGGTTGGGCTAGTGCATGTTGCCAACAAGGCAACATTAGTGATGACGGACCCAACAATATAAGTCCATTTTTTTTTGTTTCATCACTTTATAACATTTCAAACTTAAGTTTTAGTACAATCGTCTCACCTTTTGCAAAGTTGAGTGAAAGATTAAAACTTTATAAATGTTATTAAGATAGCAAATGATTTCATTTCAACACCTAGTCCCTTGCAGTGCACTAGCTGTAATATGAATTTACCTTCCCACCTCACCTTAGTGAATGCTTGCCGTCCAAAGCCCATCAACCTTCATCATCAGTAGTTTCGACTGTTATCTTCAAGTGTTATTTTCTATAAATAACAAAATGTATGTGTTAAATAATATAAAAATTAAAAGCAAATGATCAAAGGCTTTAATGTAATTCAAAACCAAATCAAAATAATGTAAGCATGGGATGTGAGGTTGGGAAGTACATTTCTACATAAAACAGCTGCTTCCATTCCTTTATTATCAATTTTATTCATTTTACAAAAGGGGATCATTCACAAGAACCCGGTCTTCTTTTCCTGTACAATTCCACCAAGGCCTACAAACTGACCGGAACCAAACTCTATTCCGGAATGTGAACGTTTGTCTGCTAATTCCCTCACCCGCAGCAGTACTGGTGCAGGAACTGACAAACAAGCAGGTTTCCCGATCTACAACATAAATAAGAAGACAATCAGAAAAAATCTGCAAAATCGAATTGGAAATGTGGAAGCTGGAAAAATTGTTTCCAATAGTTTGAGAGAGAATAATAATTTAAAAAAAAAATGTTGTAAATATAATTTTTGTAAGGATCTGGTTAGAACTTAAAAGTAGTTTTCTGGTGAATTAAACAATGAACTCTATTAACAACTAGTCATCATCGTCATCGATTTTACTGCATCTATTCCAAGACAGTTTATGAATCATCTTTATGATTTGTTCATATTGAGTTGTATAAGAAATTAAAACTGTTACTCGATGAACTAACAGTAACATTAGAAGCAACTTCAAAATTATCATCATAGCCGCTAACAAGGGGCATTCCGGTTTTCTGTAAAAGGAACGCAGTGTAATAAAAATGTAGTAAATTTTAATTATAATGAATATGAAAAGGTTTAAGAGATGTATGTTCGAATATAAACTAAATGCCTATAGTTATTTCGAGTTTGATTTCAATTAAAATAAAATCTATGTAAAAAACAAAAAATGGGATGCGACCAACAGCAACGGCGGTGGCAATGGCAGTCGGTACAGTCAAGTGATGGGTGGTGGCAACTTATGCAGTTTATTTAGAAATCGGCCAAATAAGTTGATTTCCAAATAAACCAAATTGAATTCACCAAAATTTTACACTGTATTTCATTTTCTTCAAACTAAATTCCAAATTTTGAAATTTCACTACATTTGATTCACATTACCCTACTAATGCAGCAACTAAAAAAACCCAACTGACTTCTTACTAGAAAGTGCAAAAGGACCTAGGATTTCTTTTACAAATCGATGCCCTAATCCTAGAGGGATATGAATCAAAAAGTTGCCAATCAAGGGGGACAGTTTTATATGAGCTCCAGAAGTTTCCTAGTTGAGTTCATTACTCAACTATACATGGATTACATAATAAAGAAGACAATAATCTCAAAGGAAATGACAATAACAAGTCAAGAATCTGGCTCGAAGAACAAAATGATATCACAAAACTTTTGGGAGGCATTGGTTATAAATTTTCTTGGAAAACAAAGAAAACAAGGCTGCTAATTCTTACCCCTTTATCAGTTCGTTCTTGAGCAGAGGTAGCTTTCAAAAGGTTTCGCCATTTATCCTGAGGATGAAGAAAACTCAGACAACCGTCTAAAGAAACTAATGCATCAACAAATCCACAACATAAAGTAGTCGTGAAATGAAATTCAAGCTGAATATATTTGCCTTTGATACTTTGGAATACAAAACCTAGAATTTAATGCTTATAAATACTAAATTTTAGAACTCACTCCATTTTAAAATTAACTACCAAAGCAAATTTTTAGACAGTCAGAAACTGCAGTAACTTGTAGTAGGCTAGGTTTGCTCCACAAAGCAGTTGCTGGCGCCCAGAGTCAACTTGATTTGAGAAAATGCAAAGCCATAGCCCAGAATCTTTCTCAACTTATAGGCAATTAGGTAAAGAGTAACTCAACAAGCAAGCAAGCATGTGGTAAATTAAGAGGCCATCTGGGATTACTTTTTAATTTTACTTTTTATTTTATTTTGTTTATGTTTTGACTTAAAACAAAATGGTATGGTATAACTTGTTTAGCTGTATGTAAAAACACTCAAAATAACTTTATATTTTTTAAATGTTTTTAAAAACAAACTAATTTGTTTTTGAAAATAAAAAAATGTATTAAACAAACATATTTTTAACATAAAAAGAAAACAAAAAAGATCCCAAAGAAGCCCTGAGCTTCAGTAAAAATCGTACCTTGAGATCAACAGATGTTCTATGAGAGCCTGATGCAAAAGCTACTTGCCGGATTTGAGACCATCTTCCAACTCCATACATAGACACTCCTTCAACCAGCTTCAGGACTTCGCCAAGCGTCCAAGCTCGGTGATTCTTCTTCTTGCTAGATTCCATTGGTTGTAAAGTATCAGAATTTTCATGAAAGGCAGCGCTACCAGAATCAGAATTTTCATGAAAGGCAGCGCTACCAGAAGAAATAAACTTTACATGATTTTCCTGCGGCGACTTTTCGCTATTAAATACTTCTGGACTCATTTTTTCTCTTTCCACGTGGACAAAGTTCTACAAAAACATTTTAAAAAGAAAAATGCTAGAAGCAATTTTAATCATTAACAAAATTGAAAAAATCTTCGTTGGTATCGATTTAAGTGCTAAAGCAACAGCTCCAAAAGATTGGCCATATAAGCAAACAGAAGTCGATCAAACCTTCTAGTTTTAACAAGTTGGTACCAACTCCTAACAATCTGGTTTTTTAATTGGGCCTGATCAGTTTGAAAAAATTTTCGCAATCAACCTGGTCTGACCCAATTTTGACAACCACAGATACAAGTCTACAAGGAGGGCTATTTATATCTAATGCAAATTATCTGGCAAAACCAGTACAAACTAAGGTCGGTTAAATCCATTAATGAATCACACCTCTTTTCACACAAAATTCTCAAATCACGAGAAATATGATAAACAATTTTCTTAAAGTATAGATACAGAGTAATAACTAAAATTGGTGAGAATATAATTTTGTGGAAGAACTAAAAATTCATATTGCATAAACCATAGATTTCATATACTTGATGAAAATATTGATTAAAAAAACAAATTAAACATGCGTTTTTTTTGTGTTAGTAAAATAAAATGATTAAAATCAGCTCAAATCTTAAGTAATACACGTGTTGCTCCACATGTGCATTATTTGTTGTCACAATACTATGAAGGGTGCTTGTGTCAAGAAGGGATTTCCTTTGTGCAGCCCAACAAATCAACTGCGAAAAGGTTGTTCAGCAAATAATAGCACATAAGCAGTGCATCACCAAATCACATAAGCAACGCATTAACAAATAAAGTTTAGATTTTATAGATCTTGCTCCTCATCACCATTAGCCTTAACAAAACTATTTAGGATCGGTTTTATGAATTCTCAATCTCCACGCATTTTTGTTGATTGTTGACAGTTGGGTGAGTTTTTAACCCTATTCTAAACAAACTTTCTTGAACAAATTCTATCCATGTTAGTTTTGGCTCCATTCATTGCTTAATATTTTGATAAAAATTTTATTCACTCGTCAGATAAGTGATTTTCTAATATTTATTGTGTTTAAATCTACTTTCAACAATTTTATCTTCTATATATCATTATTCCATGATCTATCTAATATAAGCTATCTTTCCTAGTTTTTTTTATCCATTCACATCAACATTCTCATACAAACTGGAGCCAAAATCAAAGAGCAACTAGCAGTAGATATGTTGGAAAATCTAAGCTAGGGCTAGGCTAATTTGAATAATATCAAAGAAAAACAAGATACAATGAATAATCTATAATTCAAGATATAGATCGTCTCTCCACAAATCCTAGACACCGCTAGGAACACAAAGACATAAGAAAAACTGTAGCAAATCAAAGCATTAAACAAACCCCAACTATTTAGCCCTAATAAATACTCCCCAAAATTCATTTAAACTTTCCCCCAAAACCCCCATTAAATTCCCACCTTTTGTTTGTGATTAACAGTTGTGTGGGCCCCACACAGAAGTTGGAATCATATTCAATAGCCCCTAAAGCTTTCACTCCTCGATGTCTTATGACCTAGTCTAATAGCTTCGACTTAGATAAGTCAGGAACTGTGGTTAGACTGTTTTAACATTTCAATAACTATCCACTGAATTCTAGAAACTTTTAATATATAAAATAGTCACTAAGAAACCACAAAGTATATCATACAAAAATCAAAACATCCAAAAATAACAGCAAAGTCTGTAGACAACATTTTAATCCAGCATATAACAATGTATCACTACAAAAAAAAAAATGATACAAATAAAATATAATCACAATACGTATCGAAAATAGTCATCCACCTGTAAACTAAATCTCTTCTGCCACATATCAACTTAGTGTTTTTTCTTGAAAAGAAACATATAAATTCAACAATAAGTTTGCACAACTTAGTGTTGAGATATGCATTAAATTCACATTCAAATACTATACATAAATGACTAAAAGAAATGTAATTCTTCATTTTATATGTTTCAAATTAAGTATTTATTTTTTTTACCCTCTTTAAGAGTCATATCAAAATTACCGCCACACCAGTATAAATCCTCCAAATTGTACTTGTATGTAGCTGACCTGGTCCGCAGTTACGCGGTTATTTAGTTTCCTGGCAACTTGACCTAGTTTCTTTAGGCGACTAGTGTGCAAATTGGATATGTTATAGAATTTACAATTTGATTTATAGTTTACACACTAGGGGTTCTACGCAAGTATATGTATCGTTCAAGTAATATAGAACTCTAACGGAGCCTCGATTATCGATCCCACAAGAAAGCGAGGTAAGAAATCTCTTAGGCTAAGTTCTAGTCTACTACTATCAGATCTTAATTTGGAATATCGATTTTTAGGGTAAAATTCTTAAGTTGAATCATGCAGAAATACAATTTAGGCTCTCTAAGAATCTTAAAACATAACATTTTCCACACAAAAAAATCTAATAATAGAAGATTAAGATAAACTAAAATTTAGGGTAAAATATCTCAACTTTTCAAAAACCTACATTTTATTTTCTGCATGCTCTTCAAGCCAGATTTAAAACGACTTGCATAGCATGAACATATCTCAGTCATCCCTATTAGAACCTCTACATTAGGACTTGTATAGATAACTGCATCATTTTGCATGTCTTGAGGAAAAGCCCTCATGCTTCTCCAACCTATATGGCCAAGCATAAGATTTCTATTTAGAAGGTTGCCAGGCACGCTTAGGGTGTTAGGGACTTCCCTAACTCATACGGGATATAAGTCTTTTGTGAGAGCATCTCGGCTCTGTAGTCGTACCTCTCTTTTCTTTCCAATCCAGTGCCTTCCTCTTGATATATGCGGGTATAGGTCTCATCTATATATACTCTACCTATAGAGGGTCAGAGGACTTAGAGTTTCTTTTTATTGACCTTAGGACTGTCGGGATTCCGTTGGACGACACAATTCATAGATTGCTGACAAAAGATCTATGGTTATGCTGAGTTGATTACATTTACAATCAGCTAGACCTGGGTCCTAATAGTTTGGGATGACGAATTCATAGTATCCTGACCCGACTATCTCTATATGATTAGGATTCATTTACAATTCTATTGATATATCCCCTTCAAGACTTGTCATGCATTTGACACCTCGTTGATGTCGTCTCGTAGACCCCAATTACGGACAGACCGCCGCCTGTTTGGGCTACGGTGATTCACTCTCTACCCTGATGGCCTGATTAGGTCTAAAAGCATAATGTGGGCCCTATAAGACGACTTGGTTATTTCATAAGCCTTGTTTGCCGATAAGCCACCATATGGTACCATGAGAGACTCACTCTCTGTCCGTATAGCTCGACGTGAGCTTTGAAAGCACAGACATGTTCTTGTGAGATAGCAACCCTTTGACACACCCCTTTAATCATCACTTGAATGTAAACAGGATCTCTTTAATTAATAGTATTCTTGGGCATTCTACAAGATGTAATTAATCAAAGAGATACGCCTATTTAGGTATACTTTTGTGGATACTCGGTCTAAAGTGTCTCGATTTGATCATGTTTGGACATACAATCTTGACTTATCGCACGAGGTTTATCTCACATAAGCTCTCTATGATTCTTTTTAAAAAAAAAAAAGTATTTTCCTAGCTTTCATCTTATTTCCCCATTTTTCGATCCTTCCAAATCTACGAATTGTTTCGACGATTTAATTATGAGAGCTCTTTGAAAAAGAGAATCCAAAGACGACGATTAGATGAGCTGACGACTCTAAATATAAAATAACCAAAAACAAACATATGAAGCTGAACCTAAGATGTCTCGTTCTACAGCATTTGAAACTATTTCTACATCACCCATCACAAATTACATGACAACAATTCTTCTAATAGTCTCAATCTGTGTTCATGTACAAATGTGATAAAGGAAAAGATGATTATCTCGTCGAAGAAAATCTGCACTAGAGGTTATTGATCCTAAACATAAGACAGAAGATTGAAAAACACATGATCATGCCATGGCTTGTCAACTCTATGACCGCGAAAATTACATAAAACTTCAATCTATATAAAATGGCAAAAGAAAGTTGAGATGCCACAAGGCAAACTTATTCAAGTGTTGCAACACCTCTAAATTGTTTGCCATTGAAATCAAAATAAATGACCTGCGACATGATGAGTTGAATATTACACAAAATTGGCTCTAACTAGATATGCATGAAACATACACATAAATATGCTCAAAATTTTACCCTTTATAAAATCATTGTTGAACAAAAGAGAACTATCAAATTCCTTCTAGAAATCAACAAAAAACTTGATAAAGTTAAGAGGAAAGATCATGCGAATCAAACATCTTCCCTCAATTCATAGCCTTTGTTGAAGAACGAAAGGAAGAGAGCAGAAAAAAACTCATAATGACAAGTAGTCTCATTACATCAAATGTTGATAACTCGACTTTATAAACTCACAAATGATCACAGGACAACAATTCAAAAAGGAATAGACCATGGTGTTAACATTGCAAAAAGCTTGGTCTTCTGAAAAAGAGTGTTGGAAACCTATGGAAAACCTGCATATTTGAAACTCACAAAGTCAAAGGTAATGGAAAAAATCAAACAAACACAACATCAAGGGAAGACAAGCCTTATGAACATAGTCCATTAAGAAAGGAACAACATGAAGCTCTCCAAAGGCTTTTGGGACAATTTTGTTGGTCTTCTACCAACATTCTAGCACAACAAGATAGTCTTCCAGCTGCTCTTGCTAATTTCAATAGGAAGGATCGACCTTGAATAGTGTACTCAGGAGCATCTGATCACATAACAGATGATATCATTATTTTTTAATCATTCCATTCTTGCAAACACAATATTGTAGTTAGAACCGCAAATGACTCCCTCCCATCTGTGGAAGGAAAAGGGAGTGTTAAACTAACAAATTATCTTATTTTTCAATCTATGTTCTATGTACCTAGACTTCCTGCCCATCAGTAAACTCACTCTTAAGATGAATTGTGTTACTAAATTCTACCATAATTTGTGTGA